CCTTCGCAATCTTTCACTTCTCTCTCTTCCTTCTTATGAATTTCCTTTTTGCAGCCATTCAGGTTCCCGATAAATCACAATACCTGAAAGAATAATTTTTTGGAAAGAGATGAAAAATGTACCAGTGGATTGTCACGGTTTAATTCTAAACTTTGGGTTGTGAGTCAGATTTAGTTTAAGGATTTATTCATCATAAATTTCTAAAACCAATTGGATTGATGGTTCCATGGCTAAAGAATTTGCAGTCCAAACGTTATGGAGAACTTACAGTCCAAATGGTTGAGTTTTTGAACTCGGATATCTCGGACTATAAATACTAGGAGTATTTTGGTCACCAAAATGGGTATTTATGACATTTCATTAAGAACTAATTTTTACATGACACACATGTACTGATGAGTTTTGATAGCTAAGGGTGGACTGTCTCCTGCAAAAAATTGAATAGTTGAAGAGGATTCCTTCGAAACATTGAGTAGTTGAAGAGGATTATCCTTCAATACATAGATTAAATGATATATTTTTGTGAAAAAATGATAGTCAAAGGAGTTTATGCAATTTTCTATTTCTCTAATTAATAATTCTGAGAGGTTGATTTAATTAACAAACTAAACAATGAAATTCAGAATTACATGAAATCAAAAAGTGGATTAAAAATATGCACTTGGTGCTTAATGCATAACATCAAACAGTATGTATATTACTAATTATTGATAAGCAACCACATATATGTAATACACTGCTGCAAGTACAGGTTTCTACACACCCATATTTATATAACATATTATTCATTATTTTACATATCACTCATAAGAACTCCTCCTGTGACGGCCCTGGATTTTCAAGCTAGTGCGTCCTATGATGAATTGAAGATTGACCAGATAACAAATCCAGATGCGAAAGCAAGAAATAAATTAACGGTCTCCCAAGGCACAACACACCTCTAAGACATTTTGATGACCTTCCATGAGGTCATAGAACTCAATGAGACTGACGCGGAAGCAAAAGATCGAAAATATGACAAATAAGCCCCCAGGGGCAAAATAGTTATTTTGAAAAAAAAATAGATTCAGGTGTTATCGAGCACACATCTGGAAAGACAATGAAAAACCAATCATGATGGACTCAAGAATCGCATTATTCGGAGTTCGGACGAAGGAGAAACGGCAAAACAAAGAAAAACGGACATATAAAGCAAAAAGGGTAAAGTGGTAATTATTCAAAAATATCCGGGTGTAACTGAGCATACCGTTGGATAGACGACGACAAATTAGTTAAGTTCAAAAAATAATTTACTCGATTTGGAGTCCGGACGGGGGAGAAAGGTCAAAAACAAAAACAATGTCGCGGCGGCTCGACGAGGGCAGCCCACTGTTGCTGCAACTGAGAGTAAAAATGGGCATTTAAACGGACTTTTTTTGAAAAACTCAAAGAATAAACCCCCCCTAAAATCAAGCTTTCTACCTGGTTACACAAATGGAAACAAAAAAAATGCATTGCAAAATACCTAGAATGCACCCAAGAAAATCAGGTCAAGAGGGTAAAAATCATTCCGAGCTACTGCCCAAGGAAAAGAAATGGGGCTTCGGGAGGTTTTTAAATTGCCTAAATTGAAAATGCAATCTTAAAATACACCTACAAGACCCCCGGAAGTTTCAAAAAAAAGTCGATGAATAGTACCAAGTACACTTGTACTAAAAATCAGCAAAAACCTGGCAGTAAGGATTTTTCGAAAAAATATGGGTTTTTGAGGGCCAAGATGACATTTTTTTAGAAAAACATAAAGAAGAAACCCCCCTCAAAATTGACATTTCTACGTGACAATAAGAAAGAAAATGAAAAAAAAAACTCACTGTGAAATGTCCAAAATGCCCTTCCATGAGATCAGGTCATGAGGGTCCAAAAAGCTGCTAAATGAAAAACAGAAAGCTGAGCTTTGCGATGGATTTCCGGTACCAAGAAGATATTTTCTGGAAAAACATGAAAAAGAAACCCCCACTAAAATTATGTTTTCTAAGTGACCATATTGAGAGCGGAATTTATTTCTTGAAGAGAAACCCCAAAATACCCATAAACCAGATTATGCAATAAAGATGCAAAATGAGTCCACAAGAGGCTCATTTCACCAAGGAAGATGTTTTTCTTGAAAACGATCATGCACATAAACGTAACTTACCTATTAGGATGTGCTACAATGATCCATAACTTAAAAATATCGCCGATGCAAAATATGACCTCCCGACGGCCAAAATGACAAAAATGAAATTTGGAATGAAAATTTGGAACTCAAAACTATGAAATGGTTTCAAAATACCGTTTGGCCCTTGGCTACACTTCATACATGATTAATGAAACCCTACGGAAGAATCAAAATGGGATTTCCACACCCGATGCAAATATGGTGAAACCATAACTCAATATTTTTCAATATTTTCATAATATTTCATGAAGTCAAAAATTACAAAGGTTACAAAATACATGTCATTGGCCTCCAGCCTCATCTCATACATGTCAAATACATTGTAAAATGTGTACTCATGTACACATTACATATATGGAATCAAATATACACATTTTGACATATAAGGCTACAAGTGGCATTTCAAGCCAACCTTTACAAGAATTAAAAACCTTCAAGTCTACAATCATCCAAGCAATGATGAATATCACGAACCAAGTCTTCGTACCTGAACAAAACCCTCAGTAACTTCGGGGTAAGTAAACAAGTTTACTCGTAGGGAATGAGCATACATCAACTCGATTTCTTACAGATTTTTACGTTAACATGAAACAATTCAAAATGGTCATGTCACCTAATGTCTATGTCAAATATTAGACTCAGGGAGCATCCTAAGCTACCTTAGAATATTTCTTGCATAAATTACATTCTTCATGCAATTCCAAACAACATAAGAGTATGTTATATAAAGCAACAAGTTATAAATTCTCAAAGTTATCAACTTGAAATCTAAAATACGAAAACCACTAAAGTGGAACATGTAACGTAACATCTATGTTCCAAATGAACCTATATGATATTCCTAAGCTACATTTGAACATTTAGCATAGATGTACTTAACAACATCAAAATTTTACAATGATTCGTGAAAATCATAAAGCATAGATGTACTTGACAACTTCAAAATTTTACAATTATTCATTAAAATCATAAAGTATAGATATACTTAACAACATCAAAATCGCCAATAACCAAAACCACAAGTCACAATTAAATATGATTGTCAACTTGGAATTGAATGCGAAATCAAATAATGGAAGACTTAGACATCAAATCTCAGATAAAGCCGAGACCTGTGGTTATTCCAGGCATTAACACGCTGGGAATACCATCCTAAGTGCGCACTATAATATAAGGAACTCTCTATCTCCCGTACTATAGCCAAACTCTAGCCATGTCATATGTAACAATGTCCCAAGAGAATCCAAAATAAATAAATAAGTTCACAACTTATACATAATATAATGCACGAAATCACCTTCTATGCACAAGTAGGTTGAAACCACACAATCCATACCTTAGAGTTTAAATTCTAAAATGGCATATATAATGTCAATTACAGAGTGTGCAATTCATTACACAAGGCAACAATATATTCCATAAAGAAAACATATTCTCATGAAGATAAATATAACAACAATGTTATCCAATGCTCAAAATACAACCAAGTGAGTACACAATAAGTCCAAGTCCATGATTTGAATATAGAAACAACTTCTAAAACATAAATAGATCCATGGAGCCATTAGATAGAATTTAATTAAACAAAAATAATTAAATTATCTAGATTTCAAATCAAATTCAAATAACCTTTAATTAATACATGTTAAACAACATAGCATGCTCATTACATATATCAAGTCAAAAGTGCAAAATGAGTAAGATATCATCAAATAGAATTTAATTAATTTAAATCAATTAAATCTCTAGATTTCAAAAGTTATTCAAATGATCTCAAATTAATATATATCAAGCACTAAGTCATCGTCATATTATATATCAAGTCTAAAATGGAATACAAGCAAAACACAATTAAGCAGAATTTAAATCAAATAATTAAATTCATTAATTCTTTAGATTTGAAAACTCATTTAAATCATCCCAATTTAATATATATCAAAGATCATGTCATGACCATGCCATATACCAAGTCTAAAATGAGTTACATGTAAGCTATGATAAATCATTAATTTCTCAAATTAATAAAAGACATGCATACAACTTATATTTCATACAAAAGCAAGTAAAACACTTGGAAAAATAAACTATAACACCCCCTACCTCACAAGAGGATTGTTCCCCTTGAATCCAAGGCAAATCAACACAAAATGACAAACCCTTCAAGGATTATGAAGAGGAAGATGAGGGGAACAAACAGTACTTCCAAGGTTAAGCTTGGAAATCAATGGAAGGCTTTCAAAAATCAAAGTCAAAGCTTAAGACTTTAAGCTTCATCCATGGAGGCTAGGGTTTGTGGTGAGGAAGGTAATGACATAATGTGAAAAAGTGTAAGTGGAGAAAATAGAAATCCTCCACTCATTATGTGATCCTACACCATAGTTAACACACACATCTATGGTCAATTGTACAAAAACCCTCCTTTAAAACCATAATCCCAAAGTGGCCCAAAAATAATTGCAAGACTTAATTTGGAGCCTACACTTGTCACTCATCCAAGCATCCATTGTAGGCTTAATCCTAAGCCTACAATTGTCAACCATCTAGGCCAACAAGTACACCAATCCTAGGCCAACAAGTGGGTGAATCTCCACAAGATGATGTATCCAAATCACTCTACCCCAATGCTAACAAGTGGCACCATGAGAATGTGACACTTGTCACATTTTTCAAAAATTGCAAAAAGGTCATTTTTTAAAATATCTTCCAAATTAAATTACAAAATGGTCCCCAAGATGAAAAATAATTAATTTATTTAATTACAATAAATCCCCACAAGTTAAGAATATTACAAAAAGGTTATGCATCCATACCCTTTACAAGAAAAGTAAACACTTAGCATGCTTTTCTAAGAAAGTAAAAACACATATGGCATAGAATTTAAATATCGTAGATGCATGCAAAACCGGAATCAAATCTGAACACAAAAAGTGAGGTTGTGTAAGGAAAAATGATAAATGAGAAAAAAACGAAAAGTGAATAGTGTCTGAAAAAATAAAAATATGAAAATGATACGATTCTCAAAAGAAGTTGTCAATCCAAGGAAAAGAGCCTCAGAAATCATTCTAGAGCACTCGACACGACATCAATTGACGAAAAATCAAACACAGAAAAGAAAAGACAATGGAAAAAAAAATATCCGTAAAAATCTGAGAAAAAAAAAATGACCGGGTCATTACACCCCTCAACTTATAATAGCTAGTATTTGACATATCACTCAATATTTATTCATGTACTCAGCAGCACCAATCTATGACACTTTGTGGCTACTTTTGGAGATGATAAGTTTCAATATCTTTGGTCATAATAACTAAACTGTCCATCATTGTAGCTGGATCAGGGACATCCTCTTTTAGCTTCTCATATTCTAGAGTCCATGTCACAAGGTTACTTTCACCCTTAGCATCAACATGAAGAATAAAAATGAAGCTTTTGTACAGCTCAGTGAAGTCTCCTTCAATTACCTTGAAAGTCACTGATTTCTTTTCATCATCTACAGCTTCCATTATCTCCTTGCTAATCTTTACTTTTCCATCTATATATGATATCACATTATAAAATGAGTGATAGATCGAAGAAATTTTGCATGATGATGAGTAAGAAGAAAGGAAAAAAGATAAAAATGTGAAACTCTCTCTGGAGGATATATCTTTGTTAAAATAGTGGATAAATTAAGTTGCTAGCTCAAATATAATGTATTTAGTTTTCTTGAGAACAACGTTATACTGCATGATTTTATTAGTGGGGTTTATCGTCGGTTTGCCACGTGGTTTTTACCTTCTATACTGAAGGGTTTTTCCACGTATATCTTTGGTGTTGTTTTATATTTCCTGCATCATTCTATTTATACTCTTAAGGTTATTTTTCTTAGCCCAAGGATTTGGAACTAACAAAAACACCCCATACTGCATACAACATATTGTATTGCGCTGCAATGCATAAACACCATTAAATAGATAAGTTAACATAGTTACATATATAGTCAGGGGCGGAGCCAGAATTTTGTTTCAGAGGGGGCACAATGCAATTGTTAAAAAAAAAAAAAAAAAAAAAAAAAAAAAAAAAAATGACAAATAGAAAGTATAATTTTTTAAAATAAAAAAGGCAAATAAGAAAAAAATAGTTGGAAAATAATATGGTGTGAAAAAAAAATATAGTTACAGATATAAGAATCAAAATATTAATTAATAATATTTTAATTAAATAGAATCACAAATGTCATCAATAAAAATAAATAAGTTTAAAAAAATAAAAAATTACATAATTATACATAAGTGGGAAAAAAAAAAAATTGAAAAAGGAAACAAAAATTAGAAAAGGAAAAATATACTTTATACTTGAAGAAGGGATATATGTAACTTTTTCTTTTTTTTTTTCAAAAGAAAATTAGAAGAATTTGAAAATTTGAGAGGGGGCACTATTTAAAATTAGCTTGTAAGTATATGTATATACCAAAAATATGTACCTATGTATAGTAGGTTGGAGCAAAGTGAGGGGGGGCACGTGCCCCTCTGGGCCTTAATTGGCTCCGCCCCTGTATATAGTTGTAAAAAAGAAAACGACTCATGAGGATTCTTATATATTTTTAGGGTAAGTATGTTTACATGTGTATTTGTATTGCGTATATAAAGAAATGGTGTTGCTCTTACCATGGACATATTTCCAACTGATGACGGAGCCTACAGTTCCCCAATCACCTTCATGCAGATCAACAGCCTTAACTTTATCAGGGCAGATGTTGGATATGCGGTGTGGATTTTTGAACATTTCATGAAACGCATCACTATCAGACTTGATCTCTGTTTGGCTTACCAGCTTACTGGTAAGAGCCATCTCTTTCCAATAACACCCAGAATTATTCCAAGAACTAACCAAGTGTTTACAGAGCAGAAATGGAGGCAAGATGTGGGAGAAGGTACCTGGCCCTTTGGCCTTTATATAGTGGATTCTGCTTGATCAATTTTTTTTTAATGTTGGAGTAATTTCGATGTGACACATTGTAGTGCTGATGTAGGACAGAATTCTGAACAGTTCAATAAGTTCATTTTTGACAAACTAATAATATTTTTTGGGTGGAAACGATGTATCGAGAAAGACCCACTAGCTTAAGTTTGTGGGCCATGTCGTTTAGTGCTCTGAAATCGCGTTTTTATTGTATTATAGGAGGCCTGCCGATTATTTCAGAATTTTTGTTTGAGGCTTTAACGAAGTTCAAATGTTCTAAAATTTTAGATTTAGTATTTTTTATTTATTAGGTTTCTTATTCTACTTTTTGGGATTTTTTTAGAGAGAATATATTTTTATGCTAATTTCTATGATTAGATTTCTTGTAGGATTAAATTTTAGTTTCCTTCTAGTGTTAGGTTTTCTCTATTATAAATATTCATGTATTGCAAGAGCAGAAGATAACATTTTATCAATAATATTTCAGGATTCAAAATACTTACTTTGTGATTCAAAGTAACCTAGTCCTTGTGAACAATCTATCACTTTGCGCTACGTCAAGTACTCACCTTAAGATATACTCGCGCAAATGACATGATTCAATCATCAATCTAGTACTATGAATACTTTACAGCCATCTCCTAATTAATTACAGTAATTAATTAAGAAGAAGAAGAAGAAGGGTACAACTTAATTTGAATGTGTATTAGTGTCAAATGGTAGGAGATATGTTAATGTTGTTTCGTCCATCACAGTTCCTCAAAAGAGACATTATTTTTGGAATAGAAGGAGTAATTAATTAAGAAGAAGAAGAGTGCAACTTAATTTTAATGTGTATCAGTGTCAAATGGTGGAGAGATGTTAACAATGTTCATATTCATTTTGATGGATCCTAGAAAAACTTACAGTTAAAAAATCATATATGTATTTGGAGTGGCTTCTAATTTCTTGAATGTCTTTTCTCTAAATTGAATGTTTTTTTACCTAGGCTCAGTTTGTTTCGACTTAAAATATTTTATTAATTCAGAAAAGATTTTTCTTTTTCAAGTAAAATATATTTTTTATTGTTACATTTTTTGTGTGAATTGGCAAAAGTCTAGATCGAGATTGAGGTCGAGTCTATCGAGTAAGACGTGTAAAATAAAAATTAATGGGTAAGTTATTTTTGTTAAGTTTTAATATTTTTTTCCTTCCTAAATATTTTTTGACAACTAAATATTAAAAAATAATATATATATATATATATATATATATATATATATATATTTAAAAATATTTTACATACAAACAAACAAACCGAAAAATCCTTCATAAATGGAATGACAACTTGATGCTTGCCCCAACACCACCTTTAGTACAGGATATAGGACCACCAAAGGCAGTATCATAGCTTAGTGAATTAAGAACAGCTCTTTAAGAATCCGGTTTTGAAAATAATGAAGAAGTTGGTCAACCGAATATTTGAAGATAATGCCCAAAGTGGACCAATTCAAACTTCAATTAGAAAAGTTTTGCTTACTTGATGCTCAAATGATTCTTGAAATGAAGGATTTTTTTAACCAGTAGCATTAATTCTAACTTTTGAATGAAAAATTCCAAAGCGTTTTTCGTAATAATGATGTTTCTGCATATGAGATTCTAGTGTCCAGTTTCATAGTGGAAAAGATTGCCTAAAGTTTCCCTTTTTGGCACCAAACTTTGGATCGGATTATTTTCAGTGTAGTCCATACGTAGAAGAAAGAAAGCATGCAAGCTTTGACAATGAAATTTCTTCCAAGAAATTAAACCGAAAATAAAAAGAATCTTGCAGGTTTTTTATTTTCATATATACAAATGAGTGGATAAAGAAACAAACAATCAACAAAATCACTAATGGCAAGACGAAAAGTGCCATGAAATACAAGGACAACATCACCTTTATGATAGATCAGAAGGAATAAAAGAGCTGACGCTGTCAAATGCACAAAGTGGATAAAGCATTGTAGAAAAAAGGCACCAGAGTCTTCAATAGGCGCCATGTAAAAATAAGCAATCTAGAAAGCTTTCTAGAGATGAATTTTTTTTTTTTCTTAGTTGAAAGAGATGAATTGACAGACTTACTTGGTTTGTAATTATCGAAACAGTTTTTTGTTATCGAAAAACTTAAAACAGAAAATTATACAAAAAATTTTGTTTGGTTCAGTTTTCTAAAAATTGTTTTTTGAAAAATCAATCATAAAAATGCCTGTTTTCAGATAGTAGTTTTTTATAGTTCTCTGTTTTTTTATTTTTGAGAACAATTTTCAGAGTTACAAACCAAGTATGCCGTCCTTAAAAAACGTTAGAGACAATTGAAAGCCACCTAAAAATTTGTTACGAATACAAACCACCCAGGTTATAAATGTTTGTTCTACATTAGAGCAAACTTAATATTATTTTCAACTATTAAATGGATTAAAGCAGCATTAGATTTCTTAAATATAATACAGATCGTCCATATACTCATGTAGAGGCAGCTATTTTAGAAACAATTCTTGTTGGCCTTTGCTAAATTCCCGGGAATCCTGTCAACAAGTTTTGCCGCAGTCATGAGTCTGTAATAAGCGTAGGAAAAGTAGTTTTGAATCTAGTCCTTATAATGCCTTTTCTGGAGTTGATATATTGTACCACAATCACTATGTTTATCGTTTGATTCTCCATTTTATCAGGTAAAATTAGTCTACAATGAGGTAAAATTAATTGGAAGTGTTGGTTGTAAACTTTGGGTTGAAAGTAGGAGAAAGAGATAACTACATTTTTCTGTTGAAATTTTGTGACGACTATCCAGTTAAATTGTCATGCTTTAATATCTTCTCCATCATTAAACCGAGTCAGATATGGTTTTAAGGATTTGTTAATCATAAATTGCTAAAACCAATTCGCAGGGGTGGAGCCACGATTTGAAAGTAAGGGGGGCTAAAGAAAAATTTCAAGCAAAGGATTTACTAGGAAAAAAAAAAAATTCTAGTAGAGAAGATGATAATGATAACAATAACAATATCGACGAACATTTAAATAATAGTAAATCAGTGGAGGCAACATACCAAAAACATGTACTAACTTTCTTATGATCATCCCTGCAAACTAAATTAACATTACTCATACTTTGTACTTTTTTGTGAGCTGAGTGATTTTATAGGGTATATAATAAACAATATTAACACTCCACATGCATGGAGATATAGTTGGTTAATTAGAATCATTTCATTTTAGTTTGTCACTAAAATAACCTAAAATTAGTTCCAACTTTCTAGTTATATAATAACATTCATTAATAACTACCCTTCAAAATATATATATATATATATATATATAAAACTTCATCATTCAAAATGGTTTTCCTAAAGATAATTATTGGGATATCTCAATAATTCTTATGGAGATCGATGTTCAATGATCGATTTGTGAATGTATATTTAAAACAGATGTACATGTCCTTTTGAAGACTTGAACTCTCGACCTTCTACTTTGAAAGATGAGAAGAACCATTGAGCTATATGGTTACATGTACATATTTAGCATTATACTAGTTCCACATATGCAAAAGTTAGCCAAGTTTTTTGTTAATTTATGCTACACCAATTAGAAGATTGTTTTAATCGATCAACAATGGGAGCTAGCTGCATGTATTCCCAATAATAGTATTAGAATAAATCAACCAAATATGAGAAAGATAAGCATGTCAACTTTGGTAGGACTTGAAAAACTGAATGTCAAAATTACACACACAAAATATATATATATATATAGTAGTGAAAGAACAATATATTTTTGCATACTGAATTAGCCATGGAGAGGTCATTTATCTCATTGGGCATACACGCCTCTTCCCACAGTCGAGTGTGCTGGCTGCCAGCCGCTTCTGCAGCCTCAATGACACCATGTGTTTGGGTTTGCAACAATGTGTTTGGAGTGTTGGGTTAGGCCTGTTATGTTTTATTATGGATTGCGCTGGGCTGATTAGTATTATGGGCTTAATAATACTAATTTTTTTTTTAATTGAACCCAGGTTAGCCCATGAATGCCTTCGCCCCTAGGGAAGAAGTGAGATAAATTGGACATAATAAATGTATATGTTTATATGCGTATATGGAAATGGTGTTGCCTTATCGTGGACATAGTTCCAGCTGATGCTGGAGCCTACAGATCCCCAGTCACCATCAAACACAGGGCAGAACTAGTAATGGGCTAATATGGGCTACAGCCTTTGTCCCATTGAAAAAAAAAAACTTGTAAGTCCATGTACTACTCTCTCTCTCTCTCTCTCTCTCTCTCTCTCTATCAGTCCAGCCCAATCCAATTCATAATATTTCTATAAATAAAAAGAATTATAAAATTTACAAAGGCCCAGCCTTAAATATAAGCAAGTTCACAAACCATAGACATGCCCAATCACAAAAGAAACCATGGTAAAACATAACAGGCCCAGCCCACCAAACATATTGTTAGTTTATGGAAGAAGACCTGAACTATCCGTGTAAGGCACTAAGGCATTGGAAGATGGATATCATAAATTATTTATTAATCTAGTGAAATATTGATTTTTATTTTTGTGTTAAAAAAAAAAAAAAAAAAGATTTGTCGATGACTTGATGGTTATCTTCTTGAATTGGGTAATTTACTATATAATGGATTAACAATTAGTCAAGAGCGGATCACATAGGTCTTATTTTCTAATGTGAATTTATTGATAAGGAACAAAAATATTTTCATTTTTGTAAGTGTTTGTTTTAATCTATATAAAACATACTTCAGTGGATTTTTGACTGTGAAAACACGTTAGAGTTTGAAAGTATAAATGTGTTAGAAGGTTATAAATTATTGGGTTTAATTGAATCAATTGAATGACTTATGCATGAAAATTTTGTATTTAGAGTATAAATGACACAATAAATAATCATGAATTTAATTATTTTTAATCACTTGG